TTAAAAAAACTTTTATAAAAATTAATTAAATAACTAATACACTATAATCATTAAAATTTTAATTATTTTAATAAACTATCTAAAAAAATAGCTCTATTACCATGTTTAGCTTGTTTAGAGCATCAAATTAAAAAAAAATTCGATATATTTTTGTAAGAAATTAGTTCTAAAGAATGTAAATTTAGTTCGATAATTTATTTTTTTATAGAATTAAAATTTTTAATTATGTAAATCGGTTATTTTATTTATCGCGCTTTTCAATTTACTGTGATCATCAAATGACCGACCATCACATGGAAATCTTCAAAATTCCCTAATTTAAGACTTTTTTTGCGAACAAATCTAAATAACTTGCTAACAAATAAAAATTCCCCAAATTCCCCTTCTATTTTCGCTTTTTTAACACTATGTCTAGTAATACACGAAAGCTACATGTTGTACAGCTAAATTATAATGGGAATCTTAGGCTTTTTTTTCGAATCAAAATTGAAACTGTAAATTATACTAAATCGTCTTTTCACTAAATACTGAAATATGTCACTCCAGTTATAATGACATCTGGTTATAACAATATTTGACCATAACGGCATTCTTTACATCAACAATTTTCTTTATTGTATTATAATAATATTTGACTTAATAACATTTTTTATATTGAATATATTGAATAATTTTTTTATTTGTTTTGTGACGTGTGCTTTGGAATTACAAAAAATCTTTTTTTTTTTATCATAATTGTAAGAAATCTAATTATAAAAAAATATTCTTGAAACTATAAACGTTTGATTGCTATAAACTAGTACAAAATAAAAATCCTAAAATATTTTTAGATGCCATATCCTTATAGCGAGGATCTTAAGTGGTGTATCATCTATTTGTATTATGATCATTATTCAAAAAATGAAATTGCTACTGTTTTATATATTAGTAAATCTTTAGTGAACAAAGTTTTAAGAATTTATAAAAAATAGGGTACAGTAACTCATCCATGGCGCAAAGTTCCTGGATTACAAAAAACATTTAACAGAAATGATATGAATGTATGTATATATGTATAATTTTTATTTTATACTACCTAATACTAATAATAATTTTAATAATTTTCATAATAATTAGATATTACAAGAAATTGTCAAAGAAAAGGTCAATTGGTTTTTATATGAGCTTGTATCTGAAATGGAACAGCATACTGGATAGACAGTTTCAATTCCAACATTATAGAGATCCTTAGTATACTGTGGAATTACTTGAAAAAAAGTTGTTATCTTGTTTTATTAGTAAAACACTTATAACCTCTAATAATTATATTATTATTTTAATTTAGCTTTGTAAAGAAGCAAAAGAAAGAAATGAACTTACACAAAGTACTTTTATGGTATGTATTGGAATATACTATCAGCTAGAACAACTAGTATTTACAGATGAAGCTGCAAAGGATGAACAATCTATAACATGAGGTTATAGATATTCAAAAATTAATACCCGGGCAGCAAAAAAAGTTGTATTTGTACATGAAGCACGATACTTAATCTGTTCTGCTTTAACATTACAAGGAATAATTGCTGTTGATATAGTAGAAGGAACTTATACAAAGCCTAAATTTAAAGATTTTATAATAAATAAAGTTGTATGTATAAATAAAATTATAATAAAATAGAGTAAACCTGAATTGTGAGTTAATAAAATTTGTTATATAGATTATATCTGCATTTAGTTATATACAAAAGCAGATTTTATTCTTGTATAATTTATATTATGAAATTTTTACAACTTAGATTTATTCTGTTTTATTATAAATTTTAGATTAATTTTTTAGCACTAATTTGCTAATGCTTTTTTATTATAGTTGCCACAAATGAATTCTTACTCATATCCTAATAGTGTTTTAGTTTTGGATAATGCACGTATTTATCATGATGATGAATTACTTAAATATTTAGATGCATTTGGAGTACGTGTAGAATTTCTTCCACCATATTCACCTGATCTCAATCTAATTGAGACAGCATTTTCTGTGATTAAGAATTATTTGCAATGATACCTATACTTTGTTGAGAATTCATATGACCCAATATATCCTTTATTAGTAGCATGTACACAAGTTTTACTGGAAATGGCAAAAAAATTTTATGAAACTTCTAGGTATAAGTAAAAAAAAAAAAAAAAAAATCCAAATTTATACAATATGATTATATAGATTTAGCAAGTTTTTTTATTTAGATAATTGCAATTTATCTAACTTTTTATAGATTTTTTTATAATAATGTATCAGAATAAGAAACTTAAAAAAAAATAATATATGTTATAACAAAGTTTTTAATAAAGCAATAACAATTATTTAGATAGTTATTACAAAAATTACAGTTTTATAATTTTACTATTTAACAAAGTAAATTCTTTAGCAGCTATACTAATTATAATATATTTAATAAGCAAAATTAAAAAATATTTTGAAAATTTTCAGCATAGTCATGCTAAGTTCTTTGAGTACTAATTGTATTTACTCCACATTACTCAAACTCTTTGTCTGATAATTTGCTTAAATACTTTACTGAGATTTGTTGTGACTTGAATTTATTTAAAAAATCTTAATAATAATGATTTGTTTCTTCTTTTTTATCTATCTCTTTTAGAAACTCAGCCATTGTTGGTAACATATTTGATTTATATTGACTAGCTTGAAATAGAGATGAAATAAATTGTGGTGATGTATAGTATGAGTTGAATGGCATTAATAATGGTGTATAGTATGAATTGAATAGTATTGATGATAGTGTATTATAAGAGTTAATTGGTGGAAAAAATAGCTAAAATACTGAAGGCTCAAAGGTCTAATTACTTTGTACTTGTGATAATGGAACTGATGATGCTTGAGACAACAAAGATGCTTGTGGTAGTGAATGTGTTTGTAGTGAAAAAGGTGTTTGTACTGGCAAAGATTCTTGTAGTAGTGGTGATTTAGGTAAATATCTTTTTTTGGATGATATTCTGTTATAAGAAAAGAGAGAATGTGTTGGAGGGTCTTTAATCATACTTAATCCTTTATTCTAAATATAACAGATAATAATAAATTTATAATTAGTATAGCTAATATACTAATACGAATAATTTACTAAAATTGTTTTTTGATTATCAAATATACTAAAAAGTCAATTAAATATTTTACAATTATAAAACTTACTATATCTGATGCCCATATTGTAAGCATCATAAATGTAATTTCTACATATAGATCTTTATTACTTTCTTTATTTAGACAAGGCCAATTATGTATATTACAATGATATTCTTTTCAAATTTCTAAAACATTTTTAGCAATTGCTTGGTCTTGTGATAACAAAGATGATGCATTTGGAACTTTATTGCTATTTTTATAATTATCCTTATCATCATTATTATTCGATTTAGTATCCTAAACTATTTTGTAATTTTATTAACTGATATATTGTTAATAATATATATTTGCATATTTAATTATTTAAATACCTTTTTTTTTTCTTTAATTTGAGATGCCTGCATAATTGTTACATAAACTCCCATATCAATACTTTTTGTAGCTACCTTTAGACATTCAGCTTTAAATTTTATAAAATCTTGAGTATCAGCTAACTGAGTACCAACACCAGTTTCTTTCTGTGTTTTAAATGCTATGCTATAATCAGTTGGTAAAAGACTATTATCTTTTGTTAATATAATAATTTTATTATGAATTGACAACAAAAATTCATCTACAGTTGATACAGATTCCTGAAACTATTTAGCTAGTAATGAAGTTCCTTTGGCAGTTTTAATATTTAACTTGTAACTTATTTTAAGTTCAGTATTATTATCACTGTTTATTTCATCTTTAGTAGTTATAACAGATATAGAAAGAGAAGGTGATCAGGTTCTCTAAAAAAAAATATAAAGTATATCTAAATAAAATTATAAAAAAAACAATTACAATAAATTATATTAGTTCTATTATTGCTATGTTTATTACTACATTCATTGCTATATCCGTTATTACATCTGTCAATTCATCTTTTGCATTATCCATTACTATATTTATTACTTTATTTGTTACTACATCTATTGCTTTATCTGTTATTACATTTGTTGCTTTATCTATTATTATATCTGTTGCTTTATTTGTTAAATTTTTTTCAGTTTTTGCAGGATTCAGTTTAAGCAAAACATTGTGACATCGACCACAAAGAGAAAACTTGAAAGATTTTTTTAAATTTATTAGATAATTATGTTCAATAACTTTTTGATGAATATATTCAAATTTTGAAGCT